TGTATCATAACATTGAGAACATACAAACTTGAAGTACATAAGTCAATTGTATCATAACATTGTGGTTTTGTCATTGGAGATTCCTGAAGCTATAGTTGTAGTGTTGTTTTCTTTCTTCTAATACATTTGTTTTCTTGTGTAATACTATGCTATTTGAGTGGTGAGATATAATGTTGAAGCACAATTATTATGCTATATCGATATAAAGTTTTATAAGGACACTCTTATGCATTTTTCTCAAAAGATCATAACTTTTTTTTAAATGTTTTATAGACAAATCACATGTTGCTTTAGATCTGTTCTCATATTTCATTCCTATCCGTCTTAATGCGGAGAAGATTTAGCTGTTGAAGAGCTTGTACAACAATGATATTGAATTTAATTAGACTATTGATATATTTTCTTTCAAGGGTTTATGTATGTATGTTTCTTAAATTCTATAAAAAAAAACATATTTCGGCTTTATCCAATCACGACGGTGTACAAGAAAAGAAATCTTGTTTGATTTGGATATTAACTATTTTTTGGCAAAGATTGTGCTTGGTGTTCTGAATTTTGTCAAGAAACCCTTGTGTTTTGACAACATAAACCTTTCTCGATTTGGGTACTCTCATATGTACACTAATTCAATTTCTTTATGGTTGTCGTGCAACCAACACATACACAAGTCGAAATATATTATACAATTTAATAAAAAAACAAAAGTATATTTATTTTTTTCAAATACTACAATTTATTAATCATAATAAGCTCACGAAATATGAAGCTTACACACTTTGAGATTCCCCAAAAATGGCACATTCCTATTCTTCGACTGTTCCAAAGCTTTGATAGTTAATTGTTTGTTATCACCGAATTCTTGATGCTTGTCCTTCTCAAAGCTAATGCAATTAAGAGGAATCAAAGTTGAAATAACATCACCAGTTAGAGCCCAAATATCAAATCACAAAAAGAGAAGATAAAGTGATCCAATTTCATGGAATAGAGCACACACTCAAAAAATTACCCACGTACCTAGGATTTATTCTCGTTTTCTTGTTTTTATAGTGCCTCTTTGATCTGAATTAAAGCCAAAAAGGGAATATTTTCCAAAGTTTGATGGTGTAATAGGTATAAATCCCAAAAACAGTTATGATTGAAAAAATGGAAAAAGAAACTAACCTTGTTAGGGTTTTAATCCTTCACGATTGATGAGATATGAGATCCACCCATGTTTGCATCTTAAGAAAGAGAAAAGGAAAAGGAAACAGGGAGTAAGGAGGAGATAGTGTAGGTTGTCGCAATGCATGTGATTACAAACCAGAAAGGGTAACTGTACCTGGTGGTGGTGATGTTGTGTAGTGATGCTGGCAGCGACAAATGATACAAAATTGCAGATGGTGAAGAGAGGTCAAACGTATGTGATTGGGGAAGGATGGAGGAGATCATCCAGTAGAATTTTAGAAGCAATAATCATTCGTAAATGCAGACCTGCATTTCCCAGTTTAAGAGTAGAAATATAGCAATAGAAAACATCGGACTTATGGTATGTAGATGAAATTAGGGTTTTCCACGTTTAGATATAGGGAGAAGGAACTACTGTCAGTTACAATCAAAGGAGCAATGCTTAATAGGACTGTACGTGATGTTATAATAGGTATACCTCTTAATTTTCAAGAAATGGGCAATATGCTTAATAATATAGTAAAGATATATAATATTTATATATTAATAAATATTACTTTATTGTATTATTAATTTCTTTTAGTTAACTTTTTAATTCATTTTCATTGGATTAATTCTTTTTTTGGATAGCACCACCATCATCCTAATATATTTCTTAAAAAATCTCATCAATCCCACCATTATCGGAAATAAACCGGGTTAAGAATCACACGATGGGTCATAAAAAAGCTAAAATGACTAGAAAGAATAACAACGTAAAATCAACTTGAAAAACAATAAACTAAAAACAACCTAATCTACATTGTATTTGGATTTTTAAATAATTATTGTGTAATTTTGATTTTGTATGTTTTTATAATTGTTCAACAACTTCATATATCATAGTATAAAACAACAGAGTAATATGGTAATTTTTCATCATTCAACACAATCAATCAGATATACAATCAAACAACATGTTTTTTTTTTCGGTCAAAAAACTTTTCCATACAACACTTTCCCAGACAACAACTATCAAATGAGACCTTAGTTTGTTTGCTTAAATTTGCAAACCTCATCTTTATTGGGGAGTTTGAAACGAGATTTAAATTGTGGCATGAATCTCTCTTGTTTCTCTTTGAAAGACTTTCTAATGTAACATGTAAATATCATTTGTTCTTGTAAGTTGACTTGAACACAAGCTTGTTACAAATTTGATGATACATGTCTAGCATGCGAGGCAAGCCGATGCATCAAGTTCGAGTCACTTAGAATGTAAGCATTTGGTAACATGGGTAATATAATATTCATCTAAAAAAGATATATATAATTCTAATAGAAAAAAAATCTAAATGCAAAAACAATACTATTTTGACATATTTACATTTTTTACAAATATAGTTAATATTCTATAATTTATTAATTATTTTTTAAAACTCGTATTATTGACAAAAAGTATTTTGTAAAATGAAACGAACCTGTTATATTTAAATTTTACTGAATAAAAGTTGATATTTTATTAAATTAACATATTATCTTTTTTTGACGGCATAAAATATGGATTGCACATTGATTTCGAATTTGACGTCACTAAAATATTCCGGATCCTTCCGGGATCAATTTGGTAATTTTCATATTGTTTAATCTGGTATTACTAAACCCTCTCTTCTCATGCTTCTAAAATCGTGTGAGGGATTAGGGCTTGTACCCTCGCCGCTTTGGATCTAAGCTTCAAGAATCATTTGGTAATCTTAATGTTCATGGTGGATGGAATCATTTATTTTTCTGTTAATTTCGACATTTATATATTATTTTCGATGAATTTACTTCATGAACTATTGTCGATGGATTTTCCGACTCGATCTGGAGTACTGCGGCCGTGATTTCCCTGTTTAAAAGGTATGCTTTTGTGTACATTTTCTAATCTGTACGAACTAATGATTATGTATACGTTTGAGAGTTTGAAGCTAGGGTTTATAATCTATATACAAATTTAGTAACGTTTGGCTGCAAACTAAAAAAACGACTCAACGGCATTCAAAAGTTGAGTCATAAATTCAATTAAGCAAAAAATATCCTATTTTTATCTGTAGGTATACGTTAGACCTAGAACCTGTTTTGTTTCTAGAACAAAGGTAGTAGTTGACTAACTAAATGATTAACAAGAACCTGTAAAACCATTCATACTTGTGCAATTACAATGTTATTATCTATGTGAAATTATGAGTTTTTTACTTTTTTTATAAATAGGATGTTATTGTGTGTGTATGTGAATGTATGTATGTTTGTTGTAAATGTGGTATATGAACGTGAAATTTGTGTATTTGGTATAAATAGGATGTTATTATCTATATATGTGAAAATATGTGTATTTGGTTTAAGTAGGATGTTATTATGTGTGTATGTGATTGTATTTGTATTTGGTGTATATGTGGTATATGTATGTAAAAGTATGTGAATTTCATGCTCTTATGTATTATGTGAAAGTATGTGGTTTTATTATAAGTAGTATGCTATAATTGAAAAAAATAAAAATAAATTATTGTTATAACTGGAGAAAACACAAAAAAATGTTATAAAATTGTTTAAAAACTTATATACGAATACTAGAAAGTTTCTAGTTTGTTCCCAAGCTAACCCCAAATTAACCAATAAGTTCTATAGTTAACTTATAATTTTCAAATTAACTTATAATGTTATATTTCTATAGTTTTATATTTATATTTTCATGTCTTTTTTAGTTTTTAAATTTTTTATTTGCAACATATTTATACAATGTTATAAATAAATAAAAATATATATTTTTTAATCTCGATGGTAAAAAAGAACAACTCAACAACATAATATAATTGTTTAAAGTACAATGTTATAATTGAAAAAAAACAAAAAATGTTATAAACAAAAAAATACAAAAAGGTACAATAGTAAGAAATGCTTTTTTTATGGATATACTAAATTATTAATTTTTCTTTATTTAATATTTTATTCATTAAAAACTAATTGCTAAACATATTAAAAGAAACAAACAATTTTTTTTTTCAATAATCATGAGTATATTTGTAAAAAAAATGTGGATTGTAAAAAAACAATGTTAATTCTGTATACTAAACTCTAAACCCAAAATTATGTTTCAACAACATCATGTTTATTGATAAAAGCTGGACTACTAATCCATATCGAAACCATCCCGAGTTCCAAGCAGGACTCAAAGCTTTTATCGAGAAGTCCAAGTCACACCTTGATAGTAATGGTAAAATCAGATGTGCATGTGAAAAATATGATAACCGTTACTTCAAGTACCCGACTGCAGTAGAACGCTATTAAGGTTTAAAAGTACGGAATCGTGCCTTGAGGCGTTTTCCCTCCGCCTCATGAGGCGTAAGCCTTGAGGCGGAGTGAGGCGTAACCCCGAGGTGGAATACAATATATATATATATATATATATATATATATA